CATGGATATCTTTGCTGTCAAAAAACTATTGAAATTCTTCAAAAATTCCTGGCCATATGTACTATAGCATCACCAACTCTAAAAATATTAAGAATGGGTCCTGGTCATCCCACATAGGCACTACTACATTAAAAAAAATCAAGGCAGACAAACAACCTGAAACCAGGAGAGAAAGTCCAATGGATGACAAATTTTATCTGCCCTTTCAATGTTGAAATTGGTGAAAAATTAGGACCACAAAGCAATATGAGGACTTTCTTTGAGCTGTTTTTATATTATTTGTAACATGTATCATTTCTATAAATAAATAAAACCATGCTTACGCATGGTTTCGAATATGTCTATGTAATGTTAATAAGTTTCAGTTTTTAAGTATCTTTCCATAGAACTTTATTTGCACTAGTTACTTATACAAAGTTCTACTAATATTAATACCTACGTTTGTTGACCGTTAAATCCATTAACTTGGGTTCTGCTGAGTTCCATTACTAACGATGAGACTATCTGTTAAATAAATATAATTATCAACTTAAAATAATATCAAAAATCATACAGTAATAATTACATCAGTGATATTTTCTCCCTGTTGAATTTGTGCTTCCAGGTAAATGAATAATCTATTTGTTGAGGCCTGAAAGATGAGAAAATAATTTCTCCAAATTTACTTTATGTCAAAGAAACAATTCAAAATAGCTTTTCCTTCTAAGAATGAAAGTTACCTTTTGCTTTCTCTGTTTAAATTCTAGTTCTAACAGTGTCCTATAAAACATCCATTCCAGGTTTTTGTCATTAGGTCCTAGATGTAATATTTACATCTAATTTCATTATTAATAACTATTATGACTATTAATCAAGTAATAATATAGAGTATATTTGATATGATGGACTATATCAATCTTCAGCATTTACATATTTAATTGGTTCACCAGTAAACAAGTATAATAAAAAATTACTATATATAGAAAATAGGAGAATTGTTCATGGTTTAAAAACATGTTAAATCCAATTTAGTTTTCATTCTAGCTCCATCCATTGCTTTGTCTTGGTCTTTCTCATTTTGGCCACAGAAATTACCCTCTAGGCAAGAAAAACTGGAGTGGAAATAAAGAACTTGCTCTACAATCATTCCCATTATATTCTTTACAAAGAGACAGCTATTATCAATCATGTTTAGCAAATCAACTCTTTGCTAGATAGGAATTACTGGCTGATCTTTTATGCTGTAAGTCAAAACAGCCACATTCCTCCATTTCGTGAACTGGAAGGGACAAGTACTTTATGTTATTCATGAGCATTACTGACAACTAACAATACTGTAGATGCCTGACAACTTGGAGGAAGATGGCAGCTACTCTCTACATGTGTCAAAATCAGGGGTAAATGAAGATTCACTTTGCCGAATTGCCAACTTATACAAAATACTCACATTTTCAATGACTTTAGAGTAGTAATCTACTGAGGTGAAGCCAAGAGTTGAAATAAACTTATTAATATCAGTACCATGATTTCCCAGTCCACAAAACGACAGCAGATGGCACAATGAGTTCTAGAGGGAACATGTCAACAGAGGAAATAATTAAAATATATTCCACCAAAAGTTAATTTTATCTTATATGAAAATGGGGAAAGGATACGTTGTGTTACAGCAACAATAATGTGACTTCAATATCTAAAATATGAAAAGGCATGTTTGACTTAATAGAATACAGGAATCTACTGAAAGAAACCAGCCCAAATACATTCAGTAATAAACCTGCCTTGAACTGATTCAGTTATTCAGACTAATATACTTTTTGGCATAAAGAATAAAAGTAGAGAATATTTTTTGAAAAAGATACCGTACAAAAGAAAAACATAAATAAAAGTGGAAAAGAGCAACATCCAACTCTTGCTTATTATATTTTTGTGGAATATTAGTTGGGCAGGTTAGATACTTCATAGATGTACTTGAAAATTAAGTACCGTATATATTTTCTACAGAATAGTTGTTTTACTGCCACCTAGCGGCATAGATGTCAAAACGGCACAATTTTTAAATGTGGTTTGAATTTTTAAAACAAGACTGAATGAACATCATAGTGACAAAAAGTTAAATGACAATGTACAAATCTGATAAACAGATAAAATCAATAAATAGTCTGTTAATTCTATAGCAAAACCCATTATCCAGTAGGGGAAAATGGTGTTTATTTATATGCTAAATATAAATAAGATAAATAAGGCACACATGGAACACTGTTACCTTCCCGCCAAAGTGGTACCTATTTATCTACTTGCATTTGCATGCTTTCAGACTTTAGGTTGGCAGGAGCTGGGGCAAGAACTCACCCAGTCACGCGGTACAGGTGGAATGCTGGAGGTAACATCACTCCTTTGCTTAATCTCATATACATGATGTATAGGTAGTCCTGCAACTGGAACCGGGATTGCCATTTCTAAGCAATATGGTCATAAAGGTGACATCATGTGACTGTATCACTTAGCAACGACAATCCCAGCTATCCTAGTTGCCATCCTGTTAAGCAGGAAGATGTAGGGGTCTCAGATAGGGAATGCAGGAGTTATGTGTGAGCGTGCTGCAGAAGCATTAGGAAGTGTAGCTGGCGCTGGGGTCCATAGGCAGGCTGGCTGGCACGGGTCATGGTTGGTCTGGCAAGGGCCATAGGCATGCAAGCCAACACAGACTGCAAGTGGGCCAATGGGGGCTGCAGACAGGTGCACATTATGGAGTATGGCTGGTCATGGGGCATTTGCTAAGGAATACAAGATTCCCCAGGACCTCATACTCTGTAGTGGGGCTGCTTGGGAGAAAAAGCGGCAGGAGCAATTTACAGGAGCAACTTATGATATTTCCCGCTGTCTTCCTGTTTGATTTTTCTTGTGGAAAGTTGACAGGAAAGATCCCCCTCATTCAGTGTCGTCATAATTTTGAATTATTACTGAATGAGTCGTCGTAAGTTGAGGACTACCTGCAAATATTTGGAGTGAACATGCTGCTTTTGTTCGCTACATCGGTGAATGTACACGTAATGTTGGTTTCTGCTGAGATTCAGTGTGTGTTTATGTGTGTGTGCACGTGCATTTTGTAGATGATGTCTTCATCTTCAAAGACACCAGCTACGCAATCAACAGAATAGAAGAGCATGCAGAGTGCACACAAATTCAGTAAGACATCATCAAAATAGTTCAATTATTATTACCCTTTCCACAAAAACATCTGTTGATGGCTTGTTCGGGTCTGGTTGGTTCTCCTGTGACTTTTACAATTATTATTACCCTTTCCACAAAAACATCTGTTGATGGCTTGTTCGGGTCTGGTTGGTTCTCCTGTGATTTTTAACTTTTGAGTGCATTTCAGAAATAAAGAGTAATTGGCTCTTAAAAGTGTTTTTTATGTTGGTGTCATGATTTATTCATAACTACTCTATGCCCTGCACTCTCGTGTCTTCTTGCTTATGGAGATTTCAGAGCTCATTCAAAATTCACACATGCACAAAAGGCTTTATATTGTTAAATGTGTGTGCGTGAGCATACTGTTTATGCTCTTGTGAACTGTTGGTGTAGTCCATGGAACATTTAGCTTCAAAGGCATGTTTGAAGTTGTTGGTTTGACTTGTTTCCTATGGTTCTTTTATCCCTTTAGCATTTCAAGTGTAAAAAGTTGTTGTTTTGCTGAGTAAGGGTATGTCTATGATCCATAAATTCTCTTGTTATTGTGTGTTATTCAGAACTCTAAAGATGTAAATCAGGGATTTCTTGTATTTCCCAGGGTGGGGCCTCTCTCCTCAACAGCAGCTTTTCTTCTTTTTTCTTTACTTTCTTTCAGGTTGAAAGTGGGGTTTTTTTTCAGTCAGGTAAATGGAAAAAAATCTGTAGGTAATCCTTTGAATGCTGATATGGAGGGAGATGTCCATGACCCTGACCGTCTGCAATGTTACATTTGGCTATAAAGAGCATAACTACAGAATATTTTTATTTTATATTTAATTATATATATATAATTTTTTTTACCAGATTGCTTGAAATTCATTTAACATTTTTGAGCAGAATGTTCCTATCAGGTTCCTATCTGCTCAGTGACTGTTGAAGGCAGGTTGAGAGGCATTCTGAGGAAAAAACTGATTACATTTATATGAAGGACAAGATGTCACGAAATGAAAGATAATAATATGCATGGATGTTGCATGACTTCATGGATGTTCTATCTATTGTTCTGGATGGCACTGTTCTTCACCCAATGCAGCATCTACACAATAAAAAGGCTCCTGCTAAAGCAGCAGATAGAGCAGGCATGTCAAACTTGCGATGTCACATGATGTCGTGTGACGTATTGCGACTTTTTCCCCATTGCCAGCAATGGGGTGGGCACGGTTTCGGCGTGATGCATCCGGCCGACGGGCTGGCAGTTTGACATGCCTGAGATAGAGGGTATGAGCAGGAGAGCTTTTAGCCAATCAAACAATTGCATCCTTTCCTGGATCAAAAGGTGTGGGAAGTAAGTCACTTCCTTGTCATCTTTTGATTAGCCTACATGCAGTCCTTGCCTAACAACTGCTGTTTTGCGACCATTCAAATTTCCAGCGGTGCTAACAAAGTAACCTTACTACTTTTCTGTATTGTTTCCTTCCATGGTCAGATTTTTTTATGAGGAGTTTGTTTTGAATCCTATTTAGATTTCTGATAACCCACAACCCAAATATCTGAAACAATTTAAGATTTTCTGCCAAAACAAGGAACAATTATATATACTGTATATATGAAAAAAGATCTGTAAAAGCAAGGCCGCGTTTGATGCTGAACAACTGAGACTGAATAGTGGAGTATGTCATCCATCTTCTTTCTCTCTTTTCTTCTTGCTTCTTTTTTCCTTCTTAGTTTACTTTTTTCTCCTATACTTAAGAGACAAAACCATGGTATAGATTTTCTTAATTTAAGCAGTAATTTCTGGAGGAAACAGAAAGGATGGCTTTCTGCCAATTACAATTTCATAGGTTTGTAGTCCGGATGCAATTTAAAAGTTTTTGAAGTCAGACTTATGAATGAAGCTACATTCAGCTGAAGTGACCTCATGAGCAATTATTTAGATTTTTGAGAGATAAGACTTCCATTTGATCAGATTTGGTGCCTTTCCAGTCCCCTTAATTTCAGGATTTTTGTTTTGTTTTGGACAAAAAATATTCAGCGATTTAGGAACAAAATTAGGCAAACCTATCAACAGCTGCTGCTGCTGGGTATTAGCCACCAGATGTAATTGATTTATTCATTCTATTTTATAGATTTATAGACCATATTTCTTCAGGAGCTCAGTCTCTCTGCAAAATCTATCCCTCAACAAGCCTGCAGATAAACTGAGCAGATATTATGACTGAACCAAAGACCTTCAGTGAATTTTCACAGCTGACAGATGTGAATCTCTGTTCCCCAGCCCTATTCTAAAATGTTTGTCATTACATTAACACATCACTGTGGTCTGCACAGTATTACTATTCTGAAATCAAATCAATGATTGTACACACACTACATACTCTTTTTCTCTCATACACACACAAACACACAGTAAAACCATGCATTTTTATCCCCTCCCACCAATGTTAGAATGTTTTCTAAACTAATTAAATGAAGCTTCAGAGTAAAATCAAAACAAGTTCCTTAATATTTAAATCAGAGACTGATTGTTAGATTCATTGCACTTTAGAATTTAAATAAAAAGATTTTAAACAGTAAGACAAAACATGTACCATTCTATAGATCTTACTAAAAAAATAAATTGCTAATGTTGCAAGGGCAAAAGTAGTTACTTATTAAAAAAAATTCAGCAGCCCTCCTTCATGATTGAGGAAAGAGCTAGCTGGTTTATATATGGTTTATTTCAAAAATGTTCGTTTCCTTCCCCAAGTCTATCTTGTACAAAAGCTATTGGCAAAATTGAGGAGCCTAAATAAGTTAAGGTGAAACACTCTTAAAAAAAAAAACCTTAGATCTTTGGAACTTTGTCTACTTCTATACTGTTGCAATCTGTATTCCAGAAAGCACTGACAATTCTCTGCATACTGTGACCACCCACATTATGGGAAGCACTCTGATTAAAGTGAACCTGGCATTCCAATATTGAATAGTATAGTCTGCTCCATGTTGTCGTTATTATATTTGCAGTCCTCTTTTAATCACTTTCATGTGTTGCAGCTATTCAATCTACACCGTCCAACCTGGAAGGAACTGATCATTCTTATTTTGCCTGTATGATGGTGTCTCTGTACGTATGTGTCCACATTTTGCTATAGAACTAGAAACTCTGGATTTAATTTCTTATAAAAACAAAAAACATTTATGGCAAACAGTATTTATAACAAAAATGTATTAAAAATAGTAAAACAGTGTACTTTTTGCCTCAGGCTTCAAACCATATAAGAAATATACTAAAGGAAAATGAGATGAGAAGGAAACAGGGGTAGAAGAAAAGACTAGGGGGAACATTTCAGCATTTAATTTTTATTTAGTTACCTAAACATTTATTGACTAGCTGGAATGACTACTAAGAGAGACAGT